CAGGATGTACTAAAATTAGATGGGAACAAAGGCCTGACATTTTCCTATTAGCAGAAGGGTTAGGAGGAAAATGTGAACTGACAGCGCCCACACTCTTCTACATTTAGCCTCTTCCTCCGGACGATTCCCTCCTTTATGCAGCAGTAAGGCAGGCAAAAGCTGGGGAACTACAGCCATCCCACACCATTTCAATTCTGCTATCGTCACTGATGATAAACTTGCCTGATCCGTAATATATTAATGAAAAGTGAGAAATACAGTTCATAGTCCCCTTACTCAACCAGAGTATTTTCGTATTTTTTCCTAACCTACTCAATACTAACTGCTGGATTATGTGTAAATTTTTACATATTTGGGAAAACAGATGTATTAGCTTCGCTTTTCTTAAGATGCTTCCAGATAGCATGAACAATAAAGATCACTCACTAAAATACTTATCATTTGCTGAGATGGTACAGTAATAATAGAACAGAACATGGAAGAATTTATCATTTCTCATCTCTTCAGAAAACAAAGAAATCATTTCTTTTGAAAACAAAAATGTAGATTTTGGCTTTTTATTTCTTCTTCTAACAAGCTAGGCAAGTAATTTGCAAATACTTGAGGGCTCAATTGATCTCCTAGTTGTAAGTCTTTTTTACAATGGTATCAGCATGACAAAAGTACATTCTGCCAGCCTACACATCGCAGTTTTTGAAGTTCTACTCCATAAAAGCAGGATAGGATATTGATACATTCATGTCTTAGGAATTATTCCTATCTTTTTAAGTTTATTTCCCTGGGCCTAAACTATACTGACAGCTCAAAATTCAGCTAGAGAAGTCCTTTTAATGATCAGTCTAATGCACCGTGTTGTAAAAGATTTTTAAAACTCAGTGAGTACTGACTCAAGCTCTCTTTTTTTCCTGGTTACTGGAGCCCATCTTGACATCTAAGCTGGAAATGAATGATCTTTCAACAACACTCCAGGGATTTTGCTAAGGTCATATTCAATCATTCATTAGGCTTCTTACCCGACGCTTTTCAGGGTTCCATTGTAGAGCTGGTTTTATTCAGCATTTATGTAGCCTGTGGGCTTGGGTATTTGTCTGCTTGATGTTGAGTTTCATTTCTATGCCCCGAACATAGGAATCCATCAATTGACCAAAGAATTTCAAACTATTCTTTCACTTTTCTAACAAATTGCATGGTGTATATGAAGAATAAATTAGCATTAATTTTCGTCCATTAACTGTTAATAAAACATGCTGATGGGCTCCCCCTTCTTCTATGGACATCTCTGTTTCCTGCCTAACCAAGAGAAATGTAAGGATTTCCTAATTTTTTTCCCACTATGCAATTGTCTTTCAGCCATATATGCTCCTCACCTCCCACAATCAAGCTCTAGTTCACGGGCAGCCTTCATTCAGTGAAGTGTACTAGACAAGACTTCTTTCAGAGCACATCAACAGCCCCCTCCCACACACAGACCCACAATCAGCTAAAGAAGTTACTACTGTGGAACACAAGACACTTGGTCTCATACTCTCAAAGCAGAGGGCTGTCCAGGAGCACATACACTTTAGCTTACAGAGCCAAAAACAGGAAATCAAACCCCAGGGCTCTCCCCTGGAGACAAACTGTACACATTTGTACAGATTTTCATTGCAGGCCACCAGACAGAGATAGAAAGACACACACATACACACACACAATTCATAAAATAAAATTACTTAAAAAGAACATAAATGAAAGTCATTAACATAGGCAGGAATATGCTATTTCTCTGTATACCAATTTGAAGAAAATTATTTCAAGGCCATATGAAACTTAACTACTAACGCAGGTTCCTTAAAAATTGAGGTTTCTGGCCGGGCGCGGTGGCTCAAGCCTGTAATCCCAGCACTTTGGGAGCCCGAGGTGGGTGGATCACGAGGTCAAGAGATCGAGACCATCCTGATCAACATGGTGAAACCCCGCCTCTACTAAAAATACAAAAAAATTAGCTGGGCATGGTGGCACGTGCCTGTAATCCGAGCTACTCAGGAGGCTGAGGCAGGAGAATTGCCTGAACCCAGGAGGCAGAGGTTACAGTGAGCCGAGATCGCGCCATTGCACTCCAGCCTGGGTAACAAGAGCGAAACTCCGTCTCAAAAAAAAAAAAAAAAAAAAAAAAAATTGAGGTTTCTATTATACTCTGGATAAAAGTGAACTGAGGTCACCATACAGTACTGCATTACAGTATCAACTTAAAAATAAGTCAGTCCAGCCGGGCGCGGTGGCTCAAGCCTGTAATCCCAGCACTTTGGGAGGCCAAGGCGGGTGGATCACGAGGTCGAGAGATCGAGACCATCCTGGTCAACATGGTGAAACCCCGTCTCTACTAAAAATACAAAAAATTAGCTGGGCATGGTGGCGCGTGCCTGTAGTCCCAGCTACTCAGGAGGCTGAGGCAGGAGAATTGCCTGAACCCAGGAGGCGGAGGTTGCAGTGAGCTGAGATCGCGCCATTGCACTCCAGCCTGGGTAACAAGAGCGAAACCCCGTCTCAAAAAAAAAATAAATAAATAAGTCAGTCCACTGAAGCACAGGACTCATAAAAAGATGGAAAGTCTTTTGTACATACTTAGCTCCCTTATTTCTTAAAAAAAAAAAAACAAACCCAGAAGACTGTAAGCATACCACAGATGAAGAAAAAAGGAAAACTCAGTGCTACTACAATGGGAAAAAAAATCATTCAAGGACAGTTTGTACTTATTTTTAAATGGCTTTAGTCAGGCTGCCAAGAGTGATACCAGGTTTGATTCTCACATACATAAATACCAGTCCCAAAAAGCAACTCTAACTTGTGCACCTGGCTTAAAACAAAATGTACTGAAAACTTTCTATTTGCTAATTGGTGTAACCCATCCATTCAGGCCTCAATTCCCTTTGGACTTGCATACGCACTTCCTACACACAGAAGTGGCCTGCTCTGCAGCAGTAACATCATAATGAAAAGCAACAATTCTGGGCAGACTCCACAGAGAAATCTCGTTTGCATTTCAAACAAGTTTCCTCAAAATAAGTGTCTTTTGATTAAATGAAATTACAATTCCAACTTCTTATCCACAGAAAACAGAATTCACTACATAACTTACTGTTCCTTTTTGTAAGTGCATAATTTCTGTCACAGTTACCCACATACTTATACAATTTAACAATGCTAAGTTAAATAATGTGTTTATGGTTTGTTTCAGGAACTGGGAGACATTTGCTGACCTGGTTTTTAACAGTTTGGTATTATGTGAAAATATTAATTTCTCATTGGCATTTTTCAACCTTCTATTTGTTCTGGTTTTAGTCCTAAAGAGGCTAGCTTCCAGGAGGATTAGAGTAAGAAGAAGAGATGACAACTTCCTTTTCCTAACCTTATCAAAAGCTCTATGATTGAAAAAAAAAAAACTTCACCTTTGCAAATGGCACAAACATGCCCCAAATAGTGACTCAAAAAGCTTTTCAACAACCATTCCAAGCTTTCTGTGAATAAAACTCAACATCTCAGTCTAGTCACACAGAAAGCCTAGTCTGTAGGATTAGTGTATTAAAATAGCATACACTTAACTCAAAATCCTAAAAGGGTACTTAACTGTACTTGAAATAAAAGAATATTACGTGAAAAAAAAACAACAAAGACCAGATCTCAAAAACTATTAAATTTTCTACAGTTTTAAGATGTGCTATTGGCCGGGCGTGGTGGTTCACGCCTGTAATCCAAACACTTTGGAGGCCAAGGTGGGCGGATCACCTGATGTTGGGAGTTTAAGACCAGCCTGACCAACATGGTGAAACCCCATCTTTACTTAAAAAAAAAAAAAAGGATGTGCTATCTTATAAAATCAACACATTTTTGCAAAAATTTTAAACTGCATGTATTTTGAAGTAATTTCTCACTTTTTACATGTTGAAAATAAAAGCTTTTCAAAAAATGTTATTTTTCTTTAAAGTCCACATACATGTCTTCAATTATCTTGTCTTAATGGCTGAACAATGTGGATCTAAATCTAAAACTCACTCCCCCACCTACCCCTCCCCAAAAAGAAAAAGGACATAATGTTAAGACTTATTCAATACCGGAGTAACATTTGCCAAATAAACAAAAATTCTGTTAGTTATGTTACCCAACAGGCCCACGAAGTTGAAAATCATCAAAAAATTATGTAAAAATTTGGATTGTGGCTCCAATATTAAAATATTACCACAAATACAAAATGGTATTAAGTATGAATATGCCTTATCTTCAAAAACATTAATAAACTGTTTCTCTTGCTAAATTAGCCACCAACTAGAACATCTTTGCGGATGTATTGCTGCAGGCTTATATAACTTACATTGCCCTTTCACAGAAGAATGACAAAATTCTTAATAGAGGCAAGTCTCTGAGTAGGGAGATGGGGAAAAGTAATGAAGGATGCTATGAGACAGAGTTAGCTGACTGCTATTCTGAAACTCCACAGAAGGACACTAACAAAATAACTACCTGTACCCATCTTTTCTAACTGAACTTCATATGTAATAACCATAGGTCTCCAGCTGAACTGTAAATGCTATAAAGCAGAGACTTAGCACCTGTGAGACAGAATATGCTAGGAGAAGAGAATGTGTTTTAAAGTCCCAGATAAAAATCCTGGCTCCATCCTGTACTGTTTGACCTCATCAAAGTGACATCACTTCTCTCAAGTTTCCTTTTTTTACAGGTACAAACAAAAAGGAGCAATATATACCTCAAGAAGATATTGAAAAGATTCAATTACTTAATAGACAACATAACGCTAGCAAATAATAATATTCCTTAGTTCTCTTTCCTTCTACTACATGTTTATCCCTTATAGTGTGTAGAAGACCACCACTACAAAATGCAGTCTTGATAGCTTTTGAGCAACTGATACATTTCTCCAATTTTGTTTAACTATATACATAAAAATAAGAGGCCTCTTCTCAGGTATTAATTAATTTTAAAAATAACCACTATCCAACACAAAATAGCATTTCTTGTTATATTTCATAAATAGTCTAACAAAATACTAAGAAAGTTGTTTGCTGCTTATTCTGGTGCTGGAATAATTTGGTCAAATTTCATAAATAGTTATATTCAACTTTACGAAGGCACAAAAATCAAGAACACATGCTTTCTATAAACTCATTTACTACTTTAAAGTTTTTAACTGCTTAGCAGTTACGGGAAATTTTTTAATCAAAAAGAAAAGTATTTACATTTCAAATACAAAAGAAAATTATTCTTGACTGATCTCTAAAATCTAACCACTTAGGTGCTCATGATTATTATTTTCTTTTACCAATCTATTATACTCTATTCAACATGTGCAGCCTGTGTTCTTACTAAGCATTTATTTGCACATGGATTTTCTGTGTCAGGGTAACTTTGCTGTGTAGATTCTGTGTAGCTACCTGAATTTGTCCAAGTAAGTCACATTTTTTGGAAAACCAACGCTGCTACACTGTTTCCAGATCTGCCTCCAAAGCTGAACTTGGGTGTTGGCAGCTCTTCAAAAAGTTCAAATCCTGTCAGACAAAATTAAAATACTTTGATTAAAGATTGAATCTCATAGTTACATTTATTTATATACATGTATTAACACTGTACTTTTAAACCCATTATAAAACGATGATTCCAAACTCTATACTGTGCTGAATTTCATTTCACAATTTTTCAATTCTACTACGTACATACAGCATATGTATGCACACCCAAAATCACTCTGAATTTAACAAGGAAAAGACAAGACCAAAAACAAATTGCAAAAAACAGGCTTTCCATTCACATCCCATTTCCTCCACTTCTGTTTATCATCCCTGCAAAGCTGTATCTCTGTTAGCCTCTATCACCTCAGTTGTAGGAAGCAGCTAGCGTGTGTCGAGTTTTGTTTGTGTGTTTGTTTTTGAGACGGAGTCTTACTCCATCACCCAGGCTGGAGTGCAGTGGCACAAGCTCAGCTCACTGCAACCTCTCCCTCCTGAGTTCAATCGATTCTCGTGCCTCAGCCTCCCAAGTAGCTGGAATTACAGGTACACGCTATCACACCTGGCTAATTTTTTGTATTTTTAGTAGAGATGGGGTTTCGCCATGTTGGTCAGGCTGGTCTGGAACTCCTGACCTCAAGTGTAGACTCACCTCAGCCTCCCAAAGTACTGGGATTACAGGCGTGAGCCACAACGCCTGGCCCTGTGTTGAGTTCTTATTATGTGCCAGGCATTATTTTGAGTGACTTATATGTAGTAATCTAATTAATTCACACTACACATATAAAAGCATTTAATACAGAAAGGCAAAATAACATGGAAATATAATGAATTTGTAGATGAAAAAGTTCTGGAGAAGGATGGTGATGACAATTGCACAAAAATTTAAGTGTATTTAATACCACAGACGTGTACACTTAAAAATGGTTATAAAATGATATGTTATATGTATTTCAGCAGAATTAAAAACAATAATTTATAACAAAAATGAAGACTCAAACTAAATTAATAAACGGCCTGGAAGACAAGGAACTAATAATTTTCAAAGCATCACAGTATAGTTTTAAAAAAAATTAACTTGGAATCTAAAATCCTAGGTGCAAGTCTCAGCTTTACCACTTACTAAATGAGATAGGCTATCAAGTTACCTCTACCATGATCCTGAGTTCTATGCAAAGAGGCTACTTAGTAATACCGATGCCCACCCCCACTCCCATCAAATTCACCGAGATTTTGTAAAGCTCCAAATAAGATAATATGGTGTTTTCCAGCCAAGCGCAGTGGCTCATGTCTGTAATCCCAGCACTTTGGGAGGCCACAGCAGGAGGATCACCTGAGGTCAGGAGGTTGAGACCAACCTGACCAACATGGAGAAACTCCATCTCTACTAAAAATACAAAATTAACCAGGCATGGTGGCACATGCCTATAATTCCAGCTACTCAGGAAACTGAGGCAGGAATATCGCTTGAACCTGGGAGACGGAGGTTGCACTCCAGCCTGAACAATAAGAGTGAAACTCCATCTCAAAAAAAAAAGGGGGGATGTAGTGTTTTATTTTTCTAAACTATAAAATAAAATGTTTTATTATTTTGCCTTTAAAAAGGCCAGACACAGTGGCTCATGCCTGTAATCCCAACACTTTGGGAGGCCAAGGCAGGCAAATCACCTGAGGTCAGGAGTTCGAGACCAGCTTGGCCAACATGGCAAAACCCCGTCTCTACTATAAATACAAAAAATTAGCTGGGCGTGGTGACTCACGCCTATAGTCCCAGCTACTTGGGAGGCTGAGGCAGGAGAATCGCTTGAACGCGGGAGGCAGAGGTTGCAGTGAGCAAAGATCGCACAATTGCACTCCAGCCTGGGCGACAGGGCAAGACTTCATCTCAAAAAAGTAATTAATTGATTAAAAACAAAACAAAGCTGTAAGGTCACTTACTAAGATGTCAACCAGGGCCAGGCATGGTATAATCCCAGCACTTTGGGAGGCCAAGGTGGGCAGCTCTCTTGAGGCCAGGAATTTGAGACCAACCTGGACAACATGGTGAAACCCCATCTCTATAAAAAATACAAAAAAAAAAAAAAACGCTGTTGTGGTGACCTGCACCTGTTCACCTATAGTCCCCGCTACTTGGGAAGCTGAGGTGGGAGATTGCCAGGTGATGGGAGGCTGTGGTAACCCAAGATTATGCCACTGCACTCCAGCCTGGGCAACAGAACCAGGCTATGTCTCAAAATAAATTTTAAAAAGTAAAATAAAATGCCAATCAAGGTTTTCCCTCATTGATGGATCTATTAGTTTTGGAATTTTTTTTTTTCCTTGAGGCAAGGGTGGGGTTCTGTATTTTCTAAATTTCCATGCTTTGAGCTCAAATAACTCTTGTAAACAGAAAAAAAATGTTTAAAATAATGTATACTGGCCAGGTGCAGTGGCTCAGGCCTCTAATCCCAGCACTTTGGGAGGCCCAGGTGGGAGAATCACTTGAGCCCAGGAGTTCAAGACCGGCCTGGACAACATGGCAAAATCCTGTCTCTACTAAAAATATAAAAATTATCCAGACATAATGATGTACACCTGTAGTTTCAGCTACTCAGGAGGCTGAAGTGGAAAGACCACTTAAACCCAGGAAGTCAAGGCTGCAGGGAGCCAAAATCCTGCCACTGCCCTCCAATCTGGGCAACAGAGAAATAGAGAGACTCTGTCTCAAAAAAAAAAAAAAAGAAAGAAATTATATTATTGCATCAATTGGTCTACCATACTGTTTCATTATACATCCTAATTCATGTTCTTCATCTAATTTCACCAAATATAAATAACTAAATATTAAAATGCTTATTAAAGGCTTACTGTAAGAAAACTTCCAAATTAGGACATTCCTTCTAATAAAATAATATGATGTATCTTAATGCTGGAAAATGCAGGCATTATGTTGGGTACATACATAGTTATACACTCATATTTGTTTTCAAAAATTTTACAAATGCTTTGGATGTTTAATAATACAAACTTTTTGTCTGTATAATTTTTCCAGGACTAACTTTTTAACTCCTTGAACTAACCCTACAGAATTGGAATTATTATATTTCAAGACAGAATACATTAAAAATATTAACAGTGGTTGTACTCCACTGATGGCAAACAAATTGTTTTAATTATTTTAATCTGTATATTTATATGTTGATGTTATTGATATTTTTCAATTATTTAAATAATAAATTTGAATTACTTTTTCTTTTAAAGGACAGCTCCCCAAACCGGAATAGGTTCAGAAAGACTCCTTTAAATTACTTCTAAACTTAGATGGGTTGTTACTGTTTTCGTTCTTTCGCTGCCATAAAGTCAAGTCCCTTGGACATCAAATTAGAACACGGGCAAGTGGTTCCAGGTAACCCTCACCAAAACAAATGATAACACAAACTATTTGTATAATCAAGGGTATCATGGAAAAAAATGAAAGATCCGTTTCAACAGTTTTATGAACATTTATATTTCAAATAAGAAAAGAACCTTAAAAGATTGGTGAAACAAGCTTTATTTTATACAAGGAGAATGTGGCAGCCAATTTGAGTAGTCAGAAACAAGACCTCTTGCAGTGACGCATGCAGCAGTGCATTCTGTTACTTCCCCGTATCTAACTCCAAATATCATTTTCTAAGGGACTAATACCTACAAAATGTTTTAAATTGCATATAACTATTTATATAACGTTTCCCATTATAACATTTCGCTTAAATACTGTATTTAGCTCTAAAATTGAACATAAAGAGTTTACTCAATAGTTTTCAGACACAGACACATTTTTAAGTACTCTAACCAGGCTAAAGTCTGTTCCTCATTAACAAAGACAGACAAATATGTTTTTGTCTGCTGTTTCTAGGAGTAAAAAAGAACACCTGTATTTAAAAACCAGAAAAGAAACTTGCCCTACACAGTGTAACTCTGAGCATTTATTAAAACTGTCAAGGTTCAGGAAGGGGAAAAGCCTATTGATACAGGGCCTCAACAGTTCTAAAGGAAACAAATTTAACATGGAGGATAATAAAATAAATGGCATGAAATAAAAGACAATAAATCACATATAATTCTCGTTTTCCAGAGGCAACAGTAATGAAGCCATAAGCTCGCATTTCAAGCCTCAAACACTTCAGGTTTTACGTTAAGTAATCTGTCAAAGCCACTGAACACACACAAAAGGACATGTGTTAGGTGTTCTCCCAGCCTGTTCCCTTAATACTAAAACGAAAACAAACTCTAAAATAAGGTATATGCAGTGCGGTTATAAATAATGGTGCCCAGTAAACTACTCTCTTGAGGTAATTCACCTCCCATTAGCTTGTGACAACTGAGATTCAAAATTTAACCAAATATTGAGTACCATATTATTTACCCAAGACTCCACCCTGAAAATTTCTCCTATTCTATCAAAAAAAAAAAAAAAAAAGTACAGGATCTGGAATAAAAAAGAAAAGGGAGGAGAAAAACCTAATCTGAAAGGATTCTAAGGAGAAAACAAGCAAATATCTGTGGATTCTCAAGATACATTCCCAGAAATGGCTGTGCACTACATGAATAAACTGGCAGATAAAATATTTCTTTAAAAATGCAAGGAACAGTCTGCCAGAGAACTCAAAATATTCTGTGTGTAGATTACAGATTCTCATTTCTCACAAGATTCCCCCTAAGTAGACACTGCACTAATTACATTTTGCTAACTAGGCAAAAAAGGATCCTGCCTCAGCACCAGAATCTTCTATAAATTCCATATATTTTAATTCTGTGTAATCTTAAAAATAATTGTTTCATAGCCTCTGAAAACAAGAACTGTTCTATAATCTCTGAATACCTAAATGACCACTAGGGCAAGACAGCTAAAGTATCTATAAAATTAAAACTCTCACCTTGTAAGACAAAAGTACTTCTTCTATTTGCATTATTATGGATTTGCCAGTAAATCAGTCCACTGAAGTCAGAAGTACAATATATGTGCTTTTGTTTGGGTCTATAAATAATAGATTATATACCTTAAATAAAAGATTGTGGCTGGGCAAGGTGGTTCATGCCTATAATCCCAGCACTTTGGGAGGCCGAGGCAGGCAACCACCTGAGGTCAGTAGTTCGAGATCAGCCTGACCCATATGATGAAACCCATCTCTACTAAAACTACAAAAATTAGTTGGGCATGGTGGCATGCGCCTGTAATCCCAGATAGACGGGAGACTGAGATAAGAGAATCACTTGAACCTGGGAGGCGGAGGTTGCAGTGAGCCGAGATCGAGCCATTGCACTCCAGCCTGGGCAACAAGAGTGAAACTTCATTTCAAAAAAAAAAAAAAAAAAGATTGTATAGCTCAAATAGGGAACTTAATTTTTTATTTATTTTTTGCTTGTTTGTTTACTTTTTTTATTATTTTTTTTTTAATAATTAAGACGAGGTTTCACCATGTTGGTCAGGCTGGTCTTAAACTCCCGACCTCAGGTGATCCACCCGCCTTGGCCTCCAAAGTGCTTGGATTACAGGCGTGAGCCACCGCGCCCGGCCTGTTTGTTTAGATGGGTCTCACTCTGTCACCCAGGCTGGCATGCAGTGGCTCGATCTTGGCTCACTGCAACCTCCACCTCCTGGGCTTATGCAATCCTTTCAGCTCGGTCTCCCAAGTAGCTGGGACTACAGGCACACGCCACCAACTCCAGCTAATTTTTTGTATTTTTAGCAGACACGGGGTTTCACCGCATTGCCCAGGCTGAGACCTTAATTTTACAGACTCATAAATTTTAGTACTTAAGCCAGGATTTCGTGGAAAATTTTTTAAAAGATCTCTAAATGTCAACCAATGTTATTTCTCTGTGCTTTGTATATACAGTCAAATGTTATTGTCAAAGTCATTAACAGAGAAAAAAGCAGGCAATTCCCACAAACAGAAAAGCAAAACACTGTAACACAAAGAGGGGAGAAAACCTAAGTACATGAAACCTGCGGTGAGCACACATTTAAACACCACACAGTCATTTACCTTCACTGAATTCATTTAGCAACTCTTCCTTGGTCCAATTACATGACGTTATTAAAAAAAAGCCTTTTACTTTCAACACCCTGGAGAGAGATTTCACATATTGCTTCCTCTTTTCAATTGCACTGTCAGGATTAAGGCTGATGGCATCAAAAGTCCCTTTGTCAATACAAATATGAAATCCAGACAGCTGTGTGGAAAGATTCAAAAAGTCTTCTACCTATATTAAAAGTCAATGTCTATGTGAGAACATTTAAAACACAATCCTTATAGAATGTGACAACATGTAAAAGGTTATTAATAAAGGGACCCATTAATTATAATAACATTTTACGTATAATAAACATATTTTAAACTTGATAGCTAACTTTTATGAGCTTCATTCCCAGATCACTAAAGCCAAGATAAGAGAGACTTATATTTCCTGAACATTCCAAATCTCTACAAATCAAAGCCAGCCATATTCCCTAATAATACTAGCAGAGTAAGAAGCTAACAAGCCTAGTTTATGAAAAACCTGTTTCTGTCAAAAAGCAGAATATCTGACACATTCTTAAAAACGACAATTTATTTGGAACTCACGTCACTGGAAATAAGAGTTTTTGGAGACAGAAATTTTGCTATGTTGCCCAGGATAGACTTGAAAACCTGAGCCAAGCAATCTTCCCATCTCAGCCTCCTAAGCAGATGTGGCCACAGCACTCAGCTATGGGAAGATTTTTAGCTTATATTCCTAGTTGGTGCAACCTAAAATAAACACGGTAAATCAAAAGTTCTTGGGCCTTGGCTGGTCCAAGTGCAGTGGTGTTTACAACTCATCGATCACTACCAGCTACAGATTTCTCTCTTCCTTCTCTATTATCACTGCTTCATTGACCAGCCTTTAAAAAAAAAAGTTGCTGGGCGTGGTGGCTCACACCTGGAGGTGGCTCACACCAAGCACTTTGGAGGCCAAGGTGGGTGGATTACCTGAGGTTGGGAGTTCAAGACCGGCCTTACCAACATGGTGAAACACCGTCTTTATTTTTAAAAAGAAATAAAAAAGGGCCGGGCGCGGTGGCTCAAGCCTGTAATCCCAGCACTTTGGGAGGCCGAGGCGGGTGGATCACACGGTCAAGAGATCGAGACCATCCTGGTCAACATGGTGAAACCCCGTCTCTACTAAAAATACAAAAAAGTAGCTGGGCATGGTGGCACATGCCTGTAATCCGAGCTACTCAGGAGGCTGAGGCAGGAGAACTGCATGAACCCAGGAGGCGGAGGTTGCGGTGAGCCGAGATCGCGCCACTGCACTCCAGCCTGGGTAACAAGAGCGAAACTCTGTCTCAAAAAAGAAAAAATAAATAAATAAAAAATAAAAAATAAGTTATTGGGTCTTAGCAGCTTACAAAATTACTAATGGATAAAATGAATGGAATGGCATAAAGCTTAAGAAATTAAATAACTTTTTTTTTCTTTTTTAATTTTTTTTTTTTTAGAAGACAGGGTTTCATTATGTTGATCAGGCTGGTCCTGAACTCCCAACCTCAGGTGATCTGCCCGCCTTGGCCTCCAAAGTGCTTGGATTACAGGCGTGAGCCACCATGCCTGGCCCAAGAAATTAAACAACTTTTTTTAAACTGTAGTAACTTAAGTTGGTACATTTCATGCTCTTTAGATGTTTAAAGTCATACATCAGCATCTCATTCACTGTCAATAACTTGATACATAATAATCACCTGAAACAGCAATCTGCCTCAATTTTATAAAATATTCACAATTTACCAATAAAAATTCTGAAGTTATTTTGAAAAAATAATTTGGCAATTAGCTTACAATTACACAAATTTAATACAGTAATTGTAAATCATGTTTAATCTAAAACCTTTAATGACTTAAAAATGTATATATTGTGTTTATATATATTGGAGGATGGGTCTTCTCCCTTCCCGCATATTCAAAGTATTCATTATACCTGAAGCAAAATAATGACCATCACTCTGAGCACTAACTGTGAAGAAGCTTCCTCATCCTAAATGCCTATATAAAAATTTCACCTATTCAACAAATATTTTGTGGACATCTATTGTCAGGTAGTTTTCAGACACTGGATATAATGAGTAAACAAAATAGAAAAGGTCCCTGTATGAAAATATACCTTATATTGGCCGGGTGTGGTGGCTCATGCCTGTAATCCCAGCATTTTGGGAGGCTGAGGTGGGCAGATCACAAGGTCAGGAGATCAAGACCATCCTGGCTACACAGTGAAACCCAGTCTCTACTAAAAATACAAAAAATTAGCCAGGCATGGTGGCACGCCCCTGTAGTTCCAGCTACTTAGGAGGCTGAGGCAGGAGAATCACTTGAACCTGGGAGGCAGAGGTTACAGTGAGCCAAGATCGCACCATGGCACTCCAGCCTGGGCAACAGAGCAAGACTCCATCCCCCCCAAAAATACTTTATTGTTAAAAAACACTAACTAGCAAACCATCATGTAAACCATGAGTAAGACATAATCTTTTCTCTGGAGGGCCCTGCCTCAATGACGATGCCTGTTGACTGACTGATCAAGGTGATGGTTACTGAAGGCTGGGGTGGCCGTGACAATTTTTAAAAATAAGACAATAATGAAGTTTGCTGCATCGATTGACTCTTCCTTTTATGAAAGAGTTCTCTGGAGCACATGATATTGTTTGATAGCATTGTATACACAGAACTTCCTTCAATATGGGAGTCAATGCTCTCAAACCTTGTTTCTGCTTTATCAACTAATTTTATGGAATATTCAAAATCCTTTTACAATAATGTTCACTTTATCTTTACCAATCGATTCCATCTCAAGAAACCACCTTCTTTGCTTGTCCACCATAAGAAGGAACTCCTTATTTGATCAAGTTTTATCATGAGACTGCAGCAACTCAGTTACACCTTCAGGTTCCACTTCTAATTCTAGTTTGCTGCTTCTACTACATTTGCAGTTCATTACTCCACTTGAAATATTGAACCTCTCTTCAAGTCATCCACTAGGGTGGGAATCAACTTCTTCCAAACTCATTAGTGTTGATATACTGACCTCCTATGACTTCTAAATGTTCATGACATCTAGAATGGCAAATCATTTCCAGAAGGTTTTCAATTTACTTTGCCCAGATCCATCAGTGAAATCACTATCTATGACAACTATAGCCTTATGAAATGCGTTTCTTAAATAACACATTTAAGACTGTAAAGTCAAAATTACTTATTGGTTCATCATGTGCTGCAGAACAGATGCTGTGTTAACAGGAATAAAAACAAGATTAATTTTCTTATACATCTCCATCAGAGCTCTTGGGTGAATTCATGCATTGTCAATGATCAGTGCTACTTTGAGTCTTTTTCTTTTGGGCTAGTAGGTCTCAAAAATGGGTTTAAAATATTCAGTAAACAGATATGCCATCATCCAGGCTTTGTTTTGTTCCGTTTATATAGAGCTCATGCAGAGAAGATTTAGCATAATTCTTAGGGGCCCTAGGATTTTCAGAATGGTAAATGGGCATTGGCTTCAACTTAAATTCATGAGCCGAATTAGGCCCCTCTAACAAGAATGTCAGCCTCTCCTTTGAAGCTGTAAAGCCAGGCACTGACTTCTCCTATCTAGCTATGGAACTCCTACATGACATCTTCTTCCAATATAAGGCTGTTTCATCTCCATTGAAAATCTGTGTGCTGTTTAGCCAGCTTCACTGGTTATTTCCTAGCTAACTTGCTACAGCTTCTACATCAGCATTTAGTGCTTTATCTTGCACTTTCATGTTATGGAAATGGCTTCTTTTTTCTTTTTTTCTTTTTTTGAGATGGAGTCTCACTCTGTTGCCCAGTCTAGAGTGCAGTGGCACAATCTTGGCTCATTGCAACCTCCACCTCCCAGGTTCAAGCAATTCTCCTGCCTCAGCCTCCCAAGAAGCTAGGATTACAGGCACCCGCCAACATACCCGACTAACTTTTTGTACTTTTAGTAAAGACAGCGTTTCAGCATGTTAGCCAGGCAGATCTCAAACACCTGGCCTCAGGTGATCCTCCTGCCTTGGCCTCCCAAAGTGCTGGGATTACAGGTGTGAGCCACGATGCCCAGCCAAGATGGCTTCTTTTCTTAAATCTCATGAACTAACTACTGCTAGCTTCAGACTTTTCTTCTCCAGCTTCTTCACCTCTCTCAGCCTTTACAGAACTGAAGAGTCAGGGCCTTGCTCTGGATTACACCTTGGCTTAAGAGAATGCTGTGACTGGTTTGATCTTCTACCTGGACCACTAAAACTTTCTCCGTATCAGCAGTAAGGCTGTTTGACTTTCTCATTATTCATGTGTTCACTGAAATATCACTTTTAATTTCCTTAAAGAAATTTTGTTTTACATTCACAAATTGACTAAATTTTGGCACAAGAGGCCTAGCTTCTGGCCTATCTCAGCTTTCAACACGCCTTCCTCACTAAGCTTAATCATTTCCAGGTTTTGATTTAAAGTGAGAGATGTGTGACTCTACCTTTCTTTTTTTTTTTTCTTTTTTTTTTTTTGAGATGGAGTTTCACTCTTGTTACCCAGGCTGGAGTGCAATGGCACGATCTCGGCTCACCGCAACCTCCGCCCGCTGGGTTCAAGCAATTCTCCTGCCTCAGCCTCCTGAGTAGCTGGGATTACAGGCACGCACCACCATGCCCAGCTAATTTTTTGTATTTTTAGTAGAGACGGGGTTTCACCATGTTGACCAGGATGGTCTCGATCTCTCGACCTCGTGATCCGCCCGCCTCAGCCTCCCAAAGTGCTGGGATTACAGGCTTGAGCCACCGCGCCCGGCTAACTCTACCTTTCAATTGAACACTTACAGGCCACTGTATTGACAGGGGGGAGGAGGGTTGTTCATTTCTTATGTTTGTTTTTTTCTTTTTGTTTTTTGAGACACAGTCTCCCCCTGCCACCCAGGCTGGAGTGCAGTGGCACAATCTTAGCTCACTGCAACCTCCGCCTCCCAGGTTCAGGTGATCCTCCCGCCTTAGCCTCTCAAGTAGGTAGGACTACAGGTGTACACCACCACACCTGGCTATTTTTTGAACTTTTAGTGGACAGAGGTTTCACCATGTTGGCCAGGCTAGTCTCGAACTACTTAACTCAAAGTGATCTGCCCACCTCAGCCTCCTAGTGTTGGGATTACAGGCATTAGCCACCATGCCCGTCCAACTGTAGGGTTTTTAATTGGCCTAATTTCAATATTGCCATGTCCGAGAAAGGAGGCTTGACGGGGAGGGAGAAAGATAGATAGGAGACCAGCCAGTAGATAGAGCAGACAGAACATACAACATTTATCCATTCAGTTTACCATCTTATGTGGGCAGTTCATGGTGCCCCAAAACAATTACAATAGTAATATCAAAAATCACTGATCAGCCGGGCGCGGTGGCTCAAGCCTGTAATCCCAGCACTTTGGGAGGCCGAGGCGGGTGGATCACGAGGTCAAGAGACCGAGACCATCCTGGTCAACATGGTGAAACCCCGTCTCTACTAAAAATACAAAAAATCAGCTGGGCATGGTGGCATATGCCTGTAATCCCAGCTACTCAGGAGGCTGAGGCAGGAGAATTGCCTGAACCCAGGAGGCAGAGGTTGCGGTGAGCCGAGATCGCGCCATTGCACTCCAGCCTGGGTAACAAGAGCGAAACTCCGTCTCAAAAAAAAAAAAAAAAAAAAAAAAAAAATCACTGATCGCCGGGCACGGTGGCTTAAGCCTGTAATCCCAGCACTTTGGGAGGCCGAGGCGGGTGGATCACGAGGTCAAGAGATCGAGACCATCCTGGTCAACATGGTGAAACCCTATCTCTACTAAAAATACAAAACATTAGCTGGGCATGGCGGCACGTGCCTGTAATCCCAGCTACTCAGGAGGCTGAGGCAGGAGAATTGCCTGAACCCAGGAGGCGGAGGTTGCGGTGAGCCGAGATCGCGCCATTGCACTCCAGCCTGGGCAACAAGAGTGAAACTCAGTCTCAAAATAAATAAATAAATAAATAAATAAATAAATAAATAAAACATGTCAATTAATATACTTTAGAAACATTTAACTTCTATTATAACTTTTATAGTAATATAAATAATAGTTACCTTTAACTTAATGTTGGAAAAACCTTCTTTTTCTGTAATACTTCCAGAAAGCTGAATTGCAGAAGGAGAGTAATCAATTCCAGTAATATTAGAGAAGCCAAATTTTGCCTAGAGAGAAATAATTTTTTACTTTAGTTGGTAAAGCTTTAATATGATGTTTTATAGGACTGGAGTTATTTTTGTTATAGAGAACATGACATATAATCCAATAATTCATAATTTTTTAATTTTATTGTAGACTCTAAATAAAAATTGAAAGTTTATATACTGTGACAAAGCCTTTGTTTTCATAATATTTTATTTCTTTTCCAAAAGGAAATTCATGTTCTTGAAAATAATGAAAATAGATGTATAAGCCCTTAGGCAGAAAAAGGTAACATTAATTTTTGATGCCGATAATTTCCAATTCACACATAAATTTGTCATAAATTTTACTTAACCCACTTAAGTTATATGAATAAAATCAATGCAAATGTAATAAGCTATGAATTTTTAAATTTTCCCTTCAGTGTAATTATACATTATGCAATTCTCCACCATGTGATTTTTAACCACCCTACATTTGTATATTACTTTTTCATTTTTCTGTTTTGTTTTGTTTTTTCAGTATTCAAAACAATACTTTTTCATTTTTAAAAATATTTCAAGGCCGGGTGCGGTGGCTCACACCTGTAATCCTAGCACTTTGGGAGGCCGAGGTGGGTGGATCACCTGAGGTCAGGAGTTCAACATCAGCCTGGCCATCATGGAGAAACCCCATCTTTAATAAAAAAAATAAATAAAATAAAAAATAAATATTTCATACATTCCATTAGATCTTTACAAAAAACCTGTGAGGTAGAGTGGGCAGCTATTAGTATCCCCAAGAAAGTTTCTTTAACTCACTGGACTTGAGAGTTTTGGTGTTTACTAACCTATCTAGACTGTGTGAGTCTGTGGCAAAAGCATGGTGGCTTCTGGTCTTTACACACCTGCTAACAAGGCTGACCATTTTTAGACCAATGAGACTAAAAATAATTTCAAAGGAAACATGAAAAACAAAGTAAGTTATAAAGTACAGTACAGCCTGAAATTCCCTTCCTGCTCTTCACCATTTACTAAGTGGTTACTTCCTATAAAACTTAACTTACTGCCACATCTAAATCCATTAAGACCTAGCAAGTCGCCGGGCGTGGTGGCTCACGCCTGTAATCCCAGCACTTTGGGAGGCCGAAGCGGGTGGATCAGGAGATCGAGACCATCCTGGTCAACATGGTGAAACCCCGTCTCTACTAAAAAATACAAAAAATTAGCTGGGCATGGTGGCGCGTGCCTGTAATCCCAGCTACTCAGGAGGCTGAGGCAGGAGAATTACCTGAACCCAGGAGGCGGAGGTTGCGGTGAGCCGAGATCGCGCCATTGCACTCCAGCCTGGGTAACAAGAGCAAAACTCCGTCTCAAAAAAAAATAAAAATAAAAAAATAAAAAAATAAAAAATAAATAAATAAAGGAAGGAAGGAAGGGCAGCCTGGGCAACATAGTGAGACTTTGTCTCTACAAAAAAAAAAATCAACAAATGAGGTGAGAGGATCACTTGAGTCTGAGAGGTTGAGGCTGCAATGAGCTGCGCTCACACCACTCTTCTCCTACCCAGGTAACAAAGAAAGACTCTGCCTCAAAAAAAAAAAAAAAAAAAAAGGAAGGAGGGAATAATAATTGCTAGGGAGTTCTAGGGGAATTTCTGGAGTTCTGGGAGTTCTGTAATATTCTATATCTTGACCAAGTGATTGTTACGTGGATGTATGCACTTTCTGGTAATTCAGTTCATTCTGATTTGTGCACTTCAGTGGAAATATGCTGTATCTCAATGTTTCAAAAAGGGTTATTTCAAGTTTTTCTAACTGTATTCCATTACTAAAAACATTTTTAAATTCTCCATACCCTAAATGCAAAATCGAAGCTCTTAAGCATGGCAAAGCATAAAATGGTTCCTACCTTTAACTTAATCCTCATCTCTGTCCATCCCCACATATACTCTGTATTTCAACTTATCAAGTTAGTTATAGGCCCAGAACACAATATACTGCTTCAGTCTTCATGCCTTTAGAAAATACTTCCATCAGCTGAAATCCTCTTCTTCTTTACACTCTACTAGGTCACCATGCTGTCTTTAAAATTTCTGCCCAACTTGGATATTAACTTCTCCAAGGTGTTTCCCTATCCCTCCATTCCAAAATTAATCACCCTCTTTTCAGTATATTACGGCATGCATCAAGTGATAGCACAACTAACTGTCTATATGTCAGTCCATACTCTATTGTATTGTAAACAATTCAGGTACAGGATGGGGCACAGTGGCACATGCCTGTAATCCCAGCACTTTGGGAGGTCCAGGCGGATGGATCACCTGAGGTCAGGAGTTCAAAAACAGCCTGACCAAAATGGTGAAACCCTGTCTCTACTGAAAAATACAAAAAATTAGCCAGGCATGGTGGCGGGCACCTATAATCCCAGCTACTCAGGAGGCTGAAGCAGGAGAATCACTTGAACACAAGAGGTGGAGGTTGTAGTGGACCGAGATCACCCATTGCACTCCAGCCTGGGCGACAGAGCAAGACTCCATCTAAAAAAAAACAATTCAAGTACAAATTTTCATGTTGCAAACGCTTAACATGACGCTTGGCATGTGGTACTCAACAAATTTCACTCTTATGTTTCTTTATGTACTAATTAAGACTGTAAAACTATCTAGGATGAAGCCTAAGTCTTATAATTCCTCCAGAGCACACAGTATAGCAAGAGCACAGTACAGGCATGTAACAGTGGAAGGGGTACCAAAACCCAAAAACCCAACTCCTTCGACAAAATGCTCTTTTTAAACCATATGCTCACCCAAGATAAGATACGTAGGTCCTACTGGAATTGCAAAAGGTCAACTTTTTTTGTATAAATAGATGTGCAGAGTTTTGAGCTACAAGAAACCAAAAGCAATCACCTTAGTGTCACACCCTAGTCACAATCACCTTAGTCACAATCCTTAGAAAAGAACTGAAGCCTAGAAAAATTCAGTAGCTTGCTCAAGGTTCAGGCTACAGCCAGAAGGATCAAGACTAGGACTCAGATCCCCTAGGATCTCATTCAGTGCTTTCTCACAATTCATGTAGCCTCCCTTTTGTACTATGTGACTTCTCAAAATATGACTGCTTTACTCTTTTATATTTAGATAGTTAATATCCTCAATTGCAGGGCTTTTAAAATTTTTGATTTTAAAATTTGTCTCTAACAAACAAATACTAAAAGTACCAACAAGTTCAACCAGGAAAACACCATTTCCAGTTCCAATATCAAGCACTGAAGCATCCAATGGTATCTTGCGTTTCTGCAACCACCTTATTAGTCGATTCATACTCTCTTCTCCAAACCTGTTAGAACGAGAGAATTAGTCAAATAATTGAGGGATACAGAGCAAAGGTCACCACTATATTCCATTTAAGCTATTTATACCACATGCTCAAAGTCTTATTTGAAAGTAAGAATATCTGTAACTGCTTAAGCTTTGTCTCAACTGTAATTTAGGAGAAACCACCTCCAGGAATAGACAAGGTCAGTATGTTACTGATTAACATTTTTCTATATCAGCATTAATACTTGTAAATGTTGGTGGTTCAAAATTTTATTGCTTATTGAAAAAGGACAACTATAGCATGAATTATTGTCATCAAATATAAATGTGAATTATTAAAAGAGGGCGCACACCCATTCTCCCAACACTTTGGAAGGCTAAGGTGGGAGGATTGCTTGAGGATTACTTGAGGCCAGGAGTTCGAAAACCAGCCTGGGCCACACAGTGAGACCCTGTCTCTACAAAAAAATTTTTTTTAATCTGCTGGGCATGGTGGCATGCAGCTATTAGTCCAAGCTACCCAAGAGGCGGTAGCAGTAGGATCACTTGGGCCTAGGAGGTCCAGGTTGTAGTGAGCTATGATGATCATGCCACTGTACTCCAGCCTGGATGACAGAATGATACCCTCTCTAAAAAAAGCAAAAAAATAAAATAAAAAATAATAAAAGAGGCCGGGCACGGTGGCTCAAGCCTGTAATCCCAGCACTTTGGGAGGCCGAGGCGGGTGGATCACGAGGTCGAAAGATCGAGACCATCCTGGTCAACATGGTGAAACCCCGTCTCTACTAAAAATACAAAAAATTAGCTGGGCATGGTGGTGCATGCCTGTAATCCCAGCTACTCAGGAGGCTGAGGCTGGAGAATTGCCTGAACCCAGGAGGCGGAGGTTGCGGTGAGCCGAGATCGTGCCATTGCACTCCAGCCTGGGTAACAACAGCGAAACTCTGTCTCAAAAAAAAAAAAATAATAATAATAATAATAAAAGAAAGAAGAGGCAGACTTTAAATCTACCCACTAAAGCGAGACTTAATCCAGGGTTCCCAGGATTTTTAGGCGGTCTTTCTTTGGGTATAGGCACTTGAATATATAATTTTTTTTAATTGCATTTTAGGTTTCGGGGTACGTGTGAAGAACATGCAAGACTGTTGCATAGGTACACACATGGCAGTGAGGTTTGCTGCCTTCCTCCCCATCACCTGTATCTGGCATTTCTCCCCATGTTATCCCTCCCCAATTCCCCACTCCCGGCTGTCCCTCCCCTAGTGAATATACACTTTTTTTTTTTTTTTTTTTTTTTTTTTGAGACAGAGTTTCGCTCTTGTTACCCAGGCTGGAGTGCAATCGTGCGATCTCGGCTCACCACAACCTCCACCTCCTGGGTTCAGGCAATTCTCCTGCCTCAGCCTCCTGAGTAGCTGGGATTACAGGCACGCGCCACCAGGCCCAGCTAATTTTTTGTATTTTTTTTTAGTAGAGACAGGGTTTCACCATGTTGACCAGGATGGTCTTGATCTCTTGACCTTGTGATCCACCCGCCTCGGCCTCCCAAAGTGCTAGGATTACAGGCTTGAGCCACTGCGCCCGGCCATCACATTTTTTTTTTTTTTTAAGACGGGGTTTCACCATTTTGGTCAGGCTGGTCTTGAACTCCCGACCTCAGGTGATCCGCCCGCCTTGGCCTCCAAAGTGCTTGGATTACAGGTGTGAGCCACCATGCCCAGCTACACATATTTTTTTAAACACACACATATACATACACTCTTCTAGATTACAACTTGATGCTTTTCCTAACTCACCAGATTTCACCTGTATCTCCATATTCTCGGAAAGTTCGCAGTTCTCTCTCATAGACAGCATCCCAACTACGCAAATAATGAAATGCAAAGCGAGACTCTTGAATTAAACTGTATTATGAATTAAATGTATGTTTCTAATACATTACAGAACTACTTGTGACAGAGGTTTAAAACATCACTAGTGTTACTAATAAGTACACATAGTTCAATCTTTTAATATCCTTGAGGTAAAAGAATTTAATACGTGGGCAAGCAGAATACGTTTATACTGTACATCTAAAGCATTTAGGACAGTATCTGATGCACAACAGTAAGTTTTAGCCTTAAAAAAAATACAGAGACATTGGTCCATGTATCCCTAAGTCCCTGACCCAAAGTCCAAAATTTGATGAAACAAGCACATCTGGTCTCAAGCCTGCAGACCCAGTCTCTTTCCTGTGCTATCTGCTTCTGCCTATTCCAGTCTTCTAGCCCTCTGTTTAAATTTTCTCTGAATCCTTTTCTTTTTTCTTTTCTTTTTAGGACAGAGTCTCGCTCTGACACCAGGCTGGAGTGTGCAGCGGCGGGGTATCGGCTCACTGCAACCTCCACCAACTGAGTTCAAGCGATTCTCTTGCCTTGGCCTCCCGAGTGGCTGGGGTTCCAGGCGTGCGCTACCACACCGGGCTAATTTTTGTATTTTTAGTAGAGACGGGGTTTCTCACCTTGTTAGTCAGAATGGTCTCAATCTCCTCACCTCGTAATCCCCCTGCCTCGGCCTCCCAAAGTGCTGGGATTACAGGCGTGGGCCACCGTGCCCGGCCCTCTGAATTCTTTTAATTTGCCTTCTCTTTTCCTACAATGATTCTCTAAAATCCCTGCTCCTTCTCATCCCTACAAGTCACCTCTCCCTAACTGTTCTCTGCCGTCATTCATCCACCCATCCATCCATTAATTCATTTAATAATCCTGAGCGTCTGTTTTAGGGCAGATCGCTTTCCCTCCCCCCAAATTGCCCCATTAAATCTCCTCGCTCCCCGTTTGGATCCTCCGTTATTCCCACCCCTTCCAGCTCCCTCCTGCCCTTCCCTGAGCCTTTTCGACTCCCAGGCCCGGCACTTCGGCCTCGGTCTCCCTCTCTCGCCAGCTAGCCCCATTCGCCAGCCTCGCCCTCTCCCCGCTTCCCCCAAGCCCGGCCCTCGGGTTCGCGACTCCCAAAAGGCCTCCCCAGGAGCTTCAAAGCCTGTCTCCCGCCCACAAGCCCTTGAAACGTCGGTCAGCCGCGCACGGTGACCCCAACGTACTCCACCCTGCCCGAGCCCCGAGCCTCCCGCACGGCGGCCCTGCTCGCGTCACGCCCCCGAGGGTCTCCACCGCGCAGTCCCCTTCTCGGGGCCCAGGCAGGGCAGCACGGCTCACCCTCCCCGGCCCTGCGTCACACTCACTGCTCGCGCGTCCCCAGCGCCGACGGAACGAAACCGTCCTCCCCAGGACTGCCGTCGCCCGACCGCGCCGCCACCGCAGGGCCACCGCCGCCGTCAGCGCCCGCGCTCATCTCGCTCCCCGTCCCGGACGGCCGTTGGGGCCGCCATAGAGACGGGGCACAGGCAGAGCGGACGAAGGGGCCGGCGCCTCTAGGCGGCAGGAGGCCGCCTTCTCGACTGCTCCAGGCCCGGCTCCCAGGCTGGGCCGGGGACGCTACTCCCTCCGCACTGTCCCCTGCTCCTGGCGCCGCCGCTGACCTTGCGCTTTCCTCCCAGGGTTGGTGGCACCCCCTTCGTCGAGGCCCAAACGCGGCTATACTTGGGGACTGCCAGGGACCATTGGAGGTACTGCCCCACCGTGGACACCTAAAGCCGACGCCACTCTACCCAAACGCAGAAAGCCCCTCACCTCTCCGCCGTGTGCGCCCGTCTGCGAAGCAGTGGGAGTGTCCATCCAGTTATTTGGCTCCTCCGGAAGAGGACAACTTCGTTTCTGGCTGGAGTCTGACTTGAAAACTGCATTCCGAGCAGGGCGTGGTGGCTCACTCAAGTAATCCCAGCACTTCGGGCGTCAGAGGCAGGCGGGTCGTCTGAGGTCAGGAGTTCGAGACCAGCCTGGCCAACATGGAGAAACCCTGTCTCTACTAAAAATGCAAAATTAGTCGGATGTGGTGGTGCATGCCTGTAATCCCAGCTACTTGAGAGGCGGAAGCAGGAGAATCGCTTGAACCCTTGAGGCGGAGGTTGCAGTGAGCCGAGATTGCGCCGTTGCACTCCAGCCTCGGCATCAAGAGCGAAACTCCGTCTAGGAAAAAAAAGAAAAGAAAACTGCACCCTGGCCTCTTGTGACTTGATGTCACCAGTAGACGTGGGAATGTATGTCCATGGTAAGGAATGCCCTGCGACTCCCCATAATACGCCGAACACAGGGATCAGTGTGTTGTAAAAGAAAGACTGCTAAGCAAGAAGACGCCTGGCGAAGCCTCAGCTCTGCCTCGACCCAGGCACCTGGCCTTGTCTAAGCCTTAAGCTCTGTGTGCTTCCTCCCTGTGGCATACCAGAACTAGACGGTGACTGTGTTTCAAAGACTGCTCCCAAATCGCGAACCGGAGATTGCATCTGCCTCTCGGTCCAACGGCCATTGGTAGATCTGCAGAATAATACAAGACATTTATGGGTTAAAAGTCTGGGGTATTTTCTGTAGTAGCTATGAAATACTGGTCCAGGGCCAGACGTGGTGGCTCACGCCTGTAATCCCAGCACTTTGGGAGGCTGAGGCGGGTGGATCAAGAGGTCAGAAGATCGAGACCATCCAGGCTAACACAGTGAAACCCTGTCTCTACCAAAAGTACTGAGGCCTGTAATCCAAGCACTTTGGAGGCCAAGGTGGGCGGGTCATCTGAGGTCGGGAATTGAAGACCAGCCTGACCAACATGGTGAAACCCCGTCTTAGGAAAAAAAAAAAAAAAAAAGGCCGGGCGCGGTGGCTCAAGCCTGTAATCCCAGCACTTTTGGGAGGCCGAGGCGGGTGGATCACACGGTCAAGAGATCGAGACCATCCTGGTCAACATGGTGAAACCCCGTCTCTACTAAAAATACAAAAAATTAGCTGGGCATGGTGGCACGTGCCTGTAATCCCAGCTACTCAGGAGGCTGAGGCAGGAGAATTGCCTGAACTCAGGAGGTGGAGGTTGTGGTGAGCCGAGATCGCGCCATTGCACTCCAGCCTGGGTAACAAGAGCGAAACTCCGTCTCAAAAAAAAAAGAAGGTACAAAAAAGAAATAGGCGGGCGTGGTGGTGGCTCGTGCCTGTAATCCCAGCTACTTGAGAAGCTGAGGCAGGAGAATCAATTGAACCCAGGAGGCAGAGGTTGCAGTCAGCCAAGATCACAGCCACTGCACTACAGCCTGAGCAACAGAGCGAGACTTTGTCTAACATAAATAAATAAATAAATTCAAGAAAGAAAGTAACCTTATTACAGAGCAATATATATATATATATATATATATATATATATATATATATATATATTTACTGCTGGTCTAATATCCTAGGCAAGGCCCTCAAAGGCCCCTGGCAAGACTGCCTTCCAACAAAAAGGAATTGTTTGCTAGGCACATTTCTGTCATAGTGGCAGACAGAAGCCCAGTAACAAGTCCCTAAAGATAAACAACATCAGAAATCCTTCTCGGATGCACATCTCCTAAACATGGTGTTCTGAGATCTTTAGGCAGCCACTAGTGACAGAGTAAGGTAAAAAGGCAGATGGGAAGCCATGTGCATAGTGGTTAAAGTAAAGGTCTGGCGCCATGGCTCACATCTGTAATCTCAGCACTTTGGGAGGACAAGGCAGGCAGCTCACCTGAGGTCAGGAGTTCGGACCAGCCTGGCCAACATGGCAAAATCCCATCTCCACTAAAAAGACAAAAATAGCCGTGCATGGTGGCGGTCACCTGTAATCCCAGCTACTCAGGAGGCTGAGGCATGAGAATTGCTTGAACCAGGGAGGCGAAGATTGCAGTGAGCCAAGACTGCACCACTGCACTCCAGCCTGGGCGACAGAGTGAGACTTTGTCTAAAATAAATAAATAAGTTCAAGAAAGAAAGTAAGTAACCTTATTACAGAGCAATAAAACCACTGGATGCCACTGCCAATTAGTGCTGCCCTGGATGAGTGGTTGTTTTTAATCTTTTCTAGTATCTAAATGCTAGATAAAGCAAGCTTGAGTGGGGGTCAGTGGGCCCTTTGAAGTTTTAGGTTCTAAGCCAGGTGTGGTGGCTGATGCCTGAATCTCAGCACTTTGGGAGGCCCAGGTGGGCAGATCAGTTGAAGTTGGGAGTTCGAGACCAGCCTGGCCAAAATGGTGAAACCCCGTCTCTACTAAAAATAACAAAAATTAGCCAGGCGTGGTGGCGCACACCTATAATCTCAGCTACTCAGGAGGCTGAGGCAGGAGAATCGCTTGAACCCCAGAGGTAGAGGTTGCAGTGAGCCGAGATCGTGCCATTGCACTCCAGTCTGGGTGACAGAATGAAACTTCATCTCCAAAAAAAAAAAAGTTTTAGGTTCTAATTAAGAAGCACCCATGAAAGATAAGCCTGCCTTCAACCTGGTGTCTTGCTAATACTTCAGGTATTTTTGCTGTGTGATAAAAGCTGTAAACAGTTGTTGGTTTGGAGCCCCAGAAAACCCCACGGTTTATATAGAGTTCCTTCTCTGGCTCCAGGAAAGATTATTGTGGCTGTTTACTCCTGAAGGCTGTGGGTACCACCTCTGATCACCCAGGGCAACAGGATTTTTGGCTGAGGGTACAGAAGCTCAATCTGAGCAGAGCTGCCCATCACTAGGAAGAACCAAGTATGTGCCAAGAAACACGGTCCCTGGCTGGGCTGATTAATGGCTCACGCCTGTAATCCCAGCACTTTGGGAGGCTGAGGCAGGCAGATCACGAGGTCAGGAGTTCAAGACCAGACTGGCCAACATGGTGAAACCCCATCTCTACTAAAAAATACAAAAATTAGCTGGGCATGGTGGCTCGTGCTTGTAATCCTAGCTACTTGGGAGGCTGAGGTAGGAGAACAGCTGGAACCAGAACCCGGGAGGAGGAGGTTGTGAGCCGAGATCACACCACTGCACTCCAGCCTTGGCAGCAGAGTGAGACTCCATCTCAAAAAAAAAAAAAAAGAATAGAAACACAGTCCCTTCACTGAGTGCCCATTACCTGAGATGGAGGGAGTCTGCAATCAGGTGGCTCCCTGTCTCCTCCCTCTTCCCTTCCCTGCAGCCTGGCACCCCATTACTGCAACACCTCAGAAATTGTGCTTCAAAGAGTTCTCAAGACAATTCTCAGTTGGCAAACCCAAGGGTCACGTTCCAGGCTTTTACCCTCCTTCTTGACTTTCCACAGCAATCAACACCTCTGAGCACATCCCTCTTGAAAACCCCTCGTTTTCCCACCACCTCCGGCTTTTTTTTTGGCTCTGTCATCCAGGCTGGAGTGCAGTGGTGCAATCATAGCTCACTGCAGCCTCAATTTCCCAGACTCGAGTGATCCTTCCAACTCAGGCTCCCGAATAGCTGGAATCACAGGCCTGTGCCACTGGGCTCAGCTCATTTTTTGTAGAGACAGGGTTTCACAACATTGCCCAAACTGGTCTCAAGCTCCTGAACTCAAGCAGTCTTCCTGCCTTGGCCTACCAAAGTGCTGGGATTATAAGCGTAAACCACTATGCCCAGCTCACCTCCTGCTCTTTTTTTTTTTTTTTTTTTTTTTGAGACGGAGTTTCGCTCTTGTTACCCAGGCTGGAGTGCAATGGCGTGATCTCGGCTCACCGCAACCTCCGCCTCCTGGGTTCAGGCAATTCTCCTGCCTCAGCCTCCTGAGTAGCTGGGATTATAGGCACGCACCACCATGCCCAGCTAATTTTTTTTGTATTTTTTTTAGTAGAGACGGGGTTTCACCATGTTGACCAGGATGGTCTCGATCTCTTGACCTTGTGATCCACCCGCCTCGGCCTCCCAAAGTGCTGGGATTACAGGCTTGAGCCACCGCGCCCGGCCTACCTCCTGCTCTTTTTCTTTTTTCTTTTTTCTTTTTTTTTTTCAGAGATGGAGTTTCATTCACCCTTGTTGCCCAGGCTGGAGTGCAGTGGCGCAATCTTGACTCACTGCAACCTCTGCCTCCTCGGTTCAAGCAATTCTCCTGCCTCAGTCTCCTGAGTAGCTGGGATTACAGGCATGCTCCACCACACCCAGCTAATTTTGTATTTTTAGTAGAGCCGGGGTTTCTCCACATTGGTCAGGCTGATCTCCAACTCCTGACCTCAGGTGAACCACCCACCTTGACCTCCCAAAGTGCTGGGATTACAGGCATGAGCCACCGCACCTGGCCTAGATCTCTTATCTTTTAAACTAATTCATGATAATAGAAATGATGGCTAGCAATCATACAACTGTCACTGTGTGCCAAGAATCGTGTTCAGTGCATCCAATGTATTATTTCAGTTACTGCTAAAGATAGCCACATGAGGTAGATATTAGTATTAGCCTCATTTTGCAGATGAGCTAACTAGGGCACATAGAAGTTGCTCAAGGTTACACAGTAAATTCTGGAGCTGAGATTGGCACCCAAGCAATCTACCATAAAGTTTTCAAGCATAATCACTACATGAGTATGCTGTATCACTATAGGTGTTTTGCTGAAGATTTTCTTTTGTTTGTTTGTTTGAGACAGGGTCTCACTCTGTCAGCCAGGCTGGAGTGCAGTGGCATGATCTCGGCTCACCGCAACCTCTGCCTCCTGAGTTCAAGCAATTCTCCTACCTCAGCTCCGGAGTAGCTGGGATTACAGGCGCCCGCCACCACACCCGGCTCATTTTTTGTGTGTGTATTTTT